CTCTTGTTCCCCTTCTCGTGGAACAAGGGTTATGTAAGTAACCCGAGACGTTCCCCTTCGAGGGAAAGTGTTTCACAGTGATGGTGCGGCCTAGCTTCACTCTGGTCACTGAGGACAAAATGGACCCGACGTGTGCAGGAGACAGATGGGCCCGCGTCATCGTTGAGTCCCACACCACCCCTAGGAACGTAGTCTGTTGGGCGGGCGTCAGCACGCTCTTCTTCGCGTTGAGCCGCAGCTCCAAACGCTGAAGGTGGGCGAGGACAACATCTCAATGCCGAACCGCTAACTCTCGAGACTGAGCCAGAATGAGCCAGTCGTCAATGTAGTTCAGTATGCGGATGCCCTGGAGCCTCATCGGGGCCAGAGCTGCATCTATGCACTTGGTGAACGTGCGAGGGGAGAGTGCTAGGCCGAATGGCTGGAACGCCGCGCCCCCAATGGCGAACCTCAGGAACTTCCTGTGAGAGGGACGGATGGAGAAATATGCGTCTCGCAGACCTATCGTGACAAACCAATCCTCGGATTGGATGTGACTGACGATGGCGGGGATGGCGGGGATGGCGAGCATCTTGAACCCGAATTGGTTCAGGGACCGCAGATCTAAATCGGACGCACCCCTCCATCCTTTTTGGGAACTATGAAGTACCAGCTGTAGAACCCGGACTCCCTGACTGGCGGGGAAATAAGTTCTACGGCCCCCTTTTTCAGCAGAGAGTGAACTTCTTGTCCCAACACCTGGCTCTGCCCCGAGTGCACCGCAGTCCAGACCACCCCATTGAATCTGGGGGCCCCCTCGAGAGCTGCCTGGGCATGCGGCGGAGTTCCCTCAAAGGGGAACCCTATTACGGTGTGAGGAACACATATGAATAGCGCGTCAGTCAGTCAGTCAGTCAGTCAGTCAGTCAGTCAGTCAGTTTCCTGTCAATCAGTGGCAGCTCAAGAACTGAAAACGTTAAACTGTATTCCGTGGTGATATCAGCGAATTGTTGCCGCTTGTACCAATGGTTTACCTTTAATCCAACCTGACTGTACACCTATATTATTATAAAATTATACGGAGAACCAAACTTCCTGCCAGACACCTCCGATCACCGGCTGGTAAGATGCTGGTTGGCTCTGGCCAACATCACCTACATGCTACCTGGCGGCCCGCAGTTGCGTTCAGGGCCTGATAAAACGTGACTTTCTCAAATGGACAGATGACGAGAAGTCGGCCTGTCACAAAGTACTGTAATTAAGTTAACGTTTTGGCCCTTTCCAGGTTTCACACTGTTTTAGCTCAGATATTTGTTTAATGAACAAAATTGACATACAAAAGGTAAAAATCACAACTTACATCCCTGATCCTATAAACAAAAAGAAACCTGTAACTCACTCATCAGAAGTTCACTCTACGGGCCTTTTCCTAATAACGTCAAAACGATGCAAGAAATATGACGTGAGGATATCCAAGCACGTTATCATGCATGACAGGGAAAAGATCACTGGACAAACAGATTTCCCAATTCTGAGCAAGCCATGTTACTTTTTAGAATAAAACAACCAAAGCTGCAGGTAGAAATAATATTTAATTTGATAAAATGGTAATTTTTGGAACATTACAATTACAATAAAACACTAAATAATTATTATAAATGAAAATAGGGTAACCTTGAACATTAATTCATTCACTTCATTAATAATTTGTTTATTTTTCACAAGACAATAAATTGTTTCAATTCTTTTGGTGTTATTGGAATACATAACACTTCAAATAAATCTTCACACTAAGCTGTGATCTATCAGCATACAACAAACTAATAGAATGGAGAGTTATTAGATGAGGAGCCTACCATCAAAACTATGAAGTTACTCTTTAAGGCACTTTTTTCATAGTGATCAATTTTGAGACTTTGGTCTATTTTGCTTCCATGTCTTCTTTAACTCTAATGGAAATAAGAACAAGAATACACCTTTAGAAAGTGTTGGTTTTAAGCCTAATACCGTCTGTCTGTTTACATCTGTAGATTTCTTCTATATTAACCAAAACAAGCTAATCTGCATATTTACACAGCACATTTCCGAGGAAAATATGATGATGATGTAATTCATTAACTGGGGAAGTTCTGTGGTGATATGCTTTAGTTATTATCCCATTTACCTGCAGTGACTTGTCAAATGTGTGCAAACTGGCGTATTTTAATTAGTTAACGCCTAAGGCCTATTCATTTATTTAAAAAAAAAAAAAAAAGCATCCCAGAAAAAAAGGGCAGGTGCTGAAGCCCCTTTTGATGTCAATTCAATTCAAATTAGCTTTATTGGCATGAATGTAATAACAACATTGCCAAAGCATCATATATACACAACATAAGAACAATCAGCCCGATACATTTTATTAAACAATTAAAGCATAAAGTAATCAAAGTGTATGTGTGTTTAAAAAAAGAAAGAAGAGAAAATTAAAATAAATAAAACAATAAGCGTGTGTATGTTTAAAAAAATATTAAAAATAAAATAAATAAACAAAACAGTAAGCGTGTGTGTTAAAAAATAAAAATATATTAAGAATAAAATAAATAAATAAAATGTGTCTATGTGTGCACGTGCCTGACTGTCACCTGCTGTCATCTACAGTTTTTTTCTGATCCAGAGGACAATAGGTCAAGAATGTTCCTCAATTCTTGCCTGTGTGTGGACCCTATGGGCGAAAGGCTCACCTCACAAAGTGTGTTGTGCGCTCCTCAATCACGCTAATTAGGCTGTTACAGCTTTGCCATAGTGTGGGGGCGAATAAAGGGCGAATGGGGTGGAAAAACCTCTCTATGCATTGTATTGCAGATTCGATGGCAGATTGAACGCTGGATTATTATTTAATTCATGTTTTATGTTCTATATAAACATAAACATTATTAGTATTTGTTCAGTTTTCAACTTCTCCAAAGTGATCCAACTAGCAGCTTAAACTACAGTCTGTATGTGTGTGCATGCAGGTGAGTGATGGAGAAAGAGATCATAATTTCTTTAAAATCATAATCAGTGAAAGAACACATGAGTTAGTTAAATTCCTACTCAGTATCTGTGCTGGAAGGGTTTTTGCTTTTATTCATCTGTGAAATTCAATCAATGTAAATGGATAATTTATAATTCTACACTACTAACTTCGGTTCCTTCATGTTTTTTGTATCTCTGAATCTTATGTTGTGTCATTTATTTATCCTGGCTAAATGGTCAATATTGACATTTAAAATAGGTAAGTAGATGAACAGACTCACTGCAGTTCTGAATGAATAGAATTTAAAAAAAAAAATTTAATTGCCAATTAAGACCAGAAACATACAGGTTTGTCTTACTGTTGGTTAACTTTGATAATAACAATCAAATAATGATCAATAATCTAATAACACCTCCTTGTTATTTTTTTTACAACCCGTTCTCACTGCCTGACTCGTCACATATGGACGCATGGTGAAAACCCATCTGCGTTACTTTGTAACGCACTGAGGATCCTATAGTTCAACGCAGTGGGTGAAGCCCTGTAGCTCAGTTTATGACAGTAAAGGTAGGTATGATATTTAACAGAAAAGACTGAGTAAGGAGGTGGTTGGGGTGGATGATGGGTCAGAACCCCAACTTTGAACCAGGAGAGGGTGTTCATGTCCCGTGTGAAACAAAAAGTTACGCAAATTACGTAAATTATTCAAGTGACGTAAATTAACTTAGTGTTAACTGACGTACGTACGTAGTTATTTTAACCCAAACCATGATCTTTTCCTAACCTTAACCAAGTAGTTTTGTTGCATAATCCTAACCAAGTACTTTTTGTGCATAAACCTAACCAAACTGTAACGTTTCACAGCTTTAATAATGTGCCTTTTTAAGTAACCGGACGTTGCATAGTTGTTGTGGCTAAGCGTTGCTAACTTGACTGTGGAGCCTGACGGAAAAAGGGGGGACCCAGGGCGTTAAAAAAAAGGGCCTTGACCAAACGTCAATATGTGACGAGTCGGGAGTGAGAATGTGTTGTTTTTTAAAGACAGTTAATGTAATCATGTAATGTCTGCTCCTCTACGTGCATCACGTTTCCCCGTCTGGCACACAGAGAGAATAAGTGGACAGTGTTTCTCTGATGACAGCAGATGTTGTCATTCAGAACAAACATCTCTGCACATCCTGTGCTGCTCCACGTTAGTCAGCATCATGAGTATGTGTGGTACGTGTGATCGACTGTCTGTACTGTACAGCTCCACTCTGACCACAGTTCACAGTAGTAGAAATGCTGCAGGGTAACTTGGTTTACTCAACCTTTCCCCTGATTTGGTGGCTGATGATGTGGAATACTCACATGGAAAACCCCTGGTTGCTTTTAGTCTGCTTACTCTCATAGAAAGAACTTTAACACTATGGATATAATGCCATGGCATCTTAATACTTTCAGAGTATTGACCAGTACCAACAATGTCAAGTAGGCTACTGAATGCTTGTTTTCTGAAATCTTCTGATTAAATGATCATTTTGTTTATTTCACAGTTTTATTTAGGCAAAGCTATAAAGCAACATTAGGAGGCTTCGCTAATTATGTAAAACAAGAAATATTTTTGTAGATAAAATGTGTTGATATGGAGGTGAAGTACCTTTAGACTGATACAATACACAACAATTGAAGAAAACATCTTTGTTTTGTTCTTCAAAATGCAATATAGAAATGTGTTGTCCAGGTGCTAGAAATGCTTTCTTCATTTGCTTTATTTTTTGTATATTTGATTGTGGTTTCTTCTTGGTGTGATACTGTATATGGTATGGTACTGTATTGGCTGGTATTACCTTACCATAACTAACACCAGAACTTCCCTAGTTACACACACACAAGTAGTGCCACTTTAGAATTTAGCTCAAAGTACAGCACTCACTATAAACTCACCTTTGAATGCTACAGACATAAACATTAGTGACAGTACACAACTGGGTCAAAGTTTCTGGCTCAAAGCCTGTTTCATTTGGTTTCCAGAGACAAGCCCCCCCCTCCCATGCTTCATGAATATTCAGCTATCATTGTGTGGGAGGAGAGAAGGAGAGGCTATAAACAACCACAGTATCCAGTAAAGGTATGCCTTGACACAAACTGGAACTCATGAGTGTGGTGAACCTGTGATTAGAACCAACAACAAACTACATCTGAGTAAGTTATTATTTTTCTTTTAAAACATCAGGGATGTACAGGTCATGTATTAAATGTTGTAATGGGATATTAGTTTAGATATTTTCAAATAGCCCGGAGCTGCATATAGCCTACAGCAACATCTGACACTTTGCATCATGTGTAAATCTATGAAAGTGGTCAGTTTCTAATTCTGCTCTATTGTTAATGCAAATTTCAAAGAGCTGATTTGTGACCTGGTCCAATGGCTGCCACTACAATTACGTTCCCAGGACCAAAACTGATGTCTTAAATAGCTGTATTAGTCCGACCAACAGTTTAAATAGCCAGAGGTATTGCGTTTACAAATGTTATATCTGCACATCTGAAAACAGCTGGAACCATCTAATGTTTGCCAGCTTTACATGATCAATGCCTCCATTGTTTTTTGCTCATTTCTACTAGGTCTGCATAAAACTTTCAGCCCACCATTATATCTCAGCTGAAGCAAAGCCAGTGGAAATGGAAAGCATGCAGGAGTTGATCCCCTTCGCTAAAGAGATGCTGAGTCAGAAACCTAGCCGTGGTTTGGTGAAGGTCTACCTGCTGGGTTCGGTCTTTGCAGTGCTGGGGACGGTCATCGGCCTAGTCGAGACAGTGTGTCACCCCCCTTTCTTCTCCGCTGAGCCGACGGACGCAGAGATGGTCCTCATGTTGGCCCAAGAGCAAAGATCTCTTGAGCCCGAGATACAGCACAGTATGGGGGTCAGGGAGAAGGAGGAGCTGGCTCATGAAAACTCGGCTACAACCCAGAGCATGACACTCCACAAGACTCATAGATTCAGCCAGCGGAGCATGGCCAACCGGCTGCACGCTTCCTAAAGCAAGAAGGGTCAACCCCAAGTGACTTGAGATATTTATTAGGGAACTTCTCCTGCTACGCCACTGAGCTGTGCAACACCTACACAGTCTGAAACTTTACACACAAAAGTGCCTGAGCTGCCCGCCATTTTGTGCTGCTTAGTGATTCTGCCTTCTAGTGCTGTTGGAAATGTTTCTTATTACGTCTTCATGCATTGGGCACATGTGAAAGACCCCCAAACACCCCAGTGGCAGCCTACATGGACATACCATTGTGAGAGCATGGAAATAATATCAGTAATACCTTATATGATATAAGTGAAGTGTACATTTATTCATTTAGAACAATGCTGTTGTGGTTCCATGGTTTCCTCCAACTGGTTCCCCAGAGTCCAAAGCAAACGTAGGGTTTGCTAAATGACACAGTAATGTAGTTTTCTTCAGAACAGTCCTGCTGGAAAATATATAAATGCAACTGCACAACTGCGAGTTGTGGACTACATTTAAAAAGTAAAACTGACAAATCTCTCCCGTATTCATCCTTGGAGTGAGCCCTCTTTTCTGAAAAGTGGTCTGTAGGTTAACATGAATGTAGACAGGGTTACAGGAACCCATATGTCTTGTTTTTTTTGGATTTTTTATTTATTAAAAAAGTTGTTGGCAAGTTGTGGCATGCGCTGTAACTACTCGGCTACTAATGGGCTCCATGTAAGCTATCATTTTTCAATGACAAGTAAGAACTTCAGAGCTCAAAGTTAGGAGTTCATGAGGAGTACCTGAAGGCAGCAGGGTGTCTGAGGTGGTAAACTGCTGTGTAGCGCCGCCTGTTGTTTGATGGATGTATCTGATCCCCCCACAGACTGTGTTCAATGAGAGGAATGGTTTTGTAAATACTATACTATATGCAAGTAGTGTAAATATTTCAAACCAATAAAGTTGATTTTATTTATTACGTTCGGCTGCCTCTGGTTTGATTCCTTCAAATGTTTGCTGCACATTTTAGTAGCCAACACATGAGATTAGGCACAGATTCATTTATTGTAAAGAAAACAAAAATAGCAGTCTGATTCTGTCCGTTGATCACTACATGCATTGAGATTATTAGGGATTAGTTTGTATCAGTAGGGTAGTCCATCAGCAAATGTAATTAATCAGAACCCAAAGAATCACCACCCTGGAACTGCAATACCTGAATATAATACAGAAATGATTCATGTTATTGCTCCCGTGTTTCAGCCAAATGTCTACACTGTTAAAGGTAGGCTCTGTGATTCTAATCCAATACGTGTGTTTTTGTCAGCAAATGTCTCTTTAGGCCATCTTCAACCCTATCTACAATGGCACTTTAGAGCGTTGCTAGCTCTCCCTGCCGGCCTCATGTGTCATTGCCCTTCTCCCTGGGAATTCTAGGCACAGAGCCTTCTGTCCACACAGCATATCTAGAAGTGGGAGTAACAACAACATACATGTTTTCAGTGTTTTTCATCTAAGTTAGATCTTAAACTGCCATCATGTTCCTTTTGAAAGTTTTATTTCCTTTAAAGTTTTCTTGATCACGGGCCCTCCCACCTCTGAGTTTTCATCCATTGTTATACATAAATATGACGGGGTGCTTTTCCTTGGTGATTTTAATATTCATGTGCAGTATGTGGTCCTTCCCATTTCCAATCCTGTTGTTTAGACACTTTTAACCTCATTCAATCCGTTAAGGGCCACACCTCAGATCTGGTACTTAAATTTGGTTGCTGCTTCGAGTTTCTTAGTTTGGTAGATATGCATAACACTGACAATAAGGCCACAAGTTCCATTACAGCTCCCTACTCTTAGTTCCTGTCCTACAGCATGCTCTTGCATCGTCAGTGCTGGCCGGTGCAGATAAATTCAGTGATGCCTTAACGGGCAGTGCCTATCCATCCATTGTCATCATTTATGTGGGTTGTGTCTAACTATACTTGACATTGATTTGTTTGTAAACAGTTCCGCAAGTATCTTTGACAAAAATCAACGAATGAGAAATGAGCAGAAGCATAGCATTGCTACTATATTTTGATAAAGACGTAAACTCCCTGCAGCACCAACTTCAGGCTAGTTCAAATTCACCAAATAAACGTTCCTGTTGTGCTAACATTATATCTTAGGTTGCCCTCGCATTTAGCCACCTACATCAAAACTATAGTTTTACACAATGGGCATTAAATAAAACTCATGTTTATGTGCTATGGCTACGTACAGTAAGCTGGTCCTACACAATCTGTGTTAACCTGATCTACTCTGTTTGCCCTGAGCTCCTGGTGTTCTGATGGCTGACTGCAGGTTTTATAGGGTCACAGGACGTCTCAGCTGAGTCACTAACAGATGCAGCAGCATGGCTCACGGAGATAGCACAGCAACAATGGCCTGCCACATGAACACACATGAGTGGGAGGCCAGCATAACCCTGAGTCAACATGATACTCTTTGGTCTAAGAATAGTTTGAGTGATAGCCTACTTGAGGACCACAATGGATAGCCCTTAATCTCTGAACGCAGTTGACCTGAACTGACCCTCTACAATTATGTGCAACTATGTGTAAATCAGCACGTCCTTCAAAGAAGTGATGCAATGTAAATGGTCAATAATGTTAAACTATGACCTCTAGCTGATCACCATAAGAGTAGAAAAGATTTGAAGATTTGTAGACTTGTGTTCTCGCACACACACAATTTGATATAGACTCATGGTCCCTTTAATAATTTAATTTGCTGTTTTGCCTTACTCTAGAAGCTTAGGGGACCAGCCATGTAAATATACTTTAAACTAAATGGTTAACTCTTTAATCATTCAGGCAAACGCATACTGGGTAGCATAGGTATCATTTAGGACTTCATTGTTTTATGTTAAGGTGAGTATCAGTTGTTTTGTCCATGAAGGTTTCCTATCTCATACCTCACCCACATTTATTCTGATTTAATACAATTTAAGGGTTCTCTGTACTGCTGTATAGCTGTGATACATTTGTCACATTGATTAATAACAATATGCAGGAAGGTAAACTCTGTTGAAGACTATTCAGCAAATTAAAAGATCTGCAAACAGCTGAGTTAAAGTGCTTTAAATGTGCTCAAAAACGGCCATAAATTATTATCTGACAATAAAGCCTCGGCAGAAATGTGCCGTTTGACATAATTATGAAACCTTCAAGTTACCAATTTAACAAGGGGTCAAAAGGTCAATTACATAAAGTCAAACAAAGTGACAAAAGGGTTGGGAAAGATTTTTTTCTTTCACAGAAACAGAGATTTGACTTGAATGGTTGCCCGTGGATACAAGAGGCAACACACACAGTGTGAAGCTGTTGATGCGTTGCCAAGCCCTCCCCAGTGTCAACCAAGCAGTCTCTGAGTCAGATGAAGAACAGGCTGCACATACTGCAGACAAAGATGTGATTGCATCCTGGTTTGAATCCTGCACTTTGCTTTAAAACCACCATGCCCGGGACAGAGTCAATTGAGTTGTTTTTTAACCAGTTAAAAATGTATCTCTCTAACAGTTTAACAGGATTTAAAACTGACCTGAAAGTAGGACAAAAATTACAAACTAATGTGTGGACAAGATTTGTTAAAACTCACAGAACTTTGTTGTAAAGTTACTGTACTGTTTTTGATACGGTACATTGACCAATTAAAAAATCTTTTAAGCAGGTGTAGAAAATGTAGCCCATCGGGAAAATCTTGACATTAAGAAACAGCAATACATTTCTCTTGTGCAACATTATTATTATTATTAAACATTAGGCCTACTCTGTATTGAGACAACTGCACTGCTAAAACAGAGTAGCCAATAATCTCTTAGAATAGAAAATATTCTTTTTAATTTCTATAATAATTCAAGCAACTCTTCTTGTTCAATAAGTTTACAGTAAATGTGAGAAAAGTCTTGTTGGCAGGAACATCCAGCTGGAGCGCTGACCTTCTCCACAGAGTGACGCACGCACATGTCTGAGTGTGTGTGAATTAAGTGGATGTATATTACACTTGGTGTGTGTGTGTTGTCAGATGGGTGTAGAGATCCACGTGTATTCCTGTACAGTCTCAGCAGAAAGCAAGACAGATAATAAGTCTGCGTGCTTCAATGTTCTGCAGCCTGGTTACCTGGAGGTCAGAAACAAATTGTTTGTTTAAGCATATGGCCTTATGCCTTACCAGGGACACAAGTCAAAATCTCTGAAAAGACGGTACAGGGGGGCTCTGTGTAATTTAGTTACACAACACACAGTATGGCAATGGGAGGAAAGGTTATGGAGCTACTCCATCTAGAGGTTGCCACAAAGAAAGTTTGCCTGGTAGACACATGAACACAGGTTGCCCCTCATATGGAGCATAAATCGGTGTAAAAGGAGAAGACCGGGGAGTTGACTGTACTGTACTCTTTAGTGTGAATGAAGCCTGGGACAGAACTGAGGTGTCTGCTAGAAAGTCATCAACACCCACATTTTGAATCACTTCATTAAAAAAGATACGTAGTTATTTCACATCCTTATTTCCTTATTTCTTTTTTATGAACAAATTATTACACCAAAAATAATACTCTCCACATATGTATGTGTACTTTTTGTCTCAATCTGTGTTTCCTGGTTTTCCCCTTACTTCCAATGAAGTTAAATGCTGTTAATCCTAACCCTACATCAGTGGAGGGAGGATAAACAGCATGATTGCCCTTGCTTTTACTGTTCAGCAGTCACATATAGGTGCAATCTTCAGGTGTCCGCATACTTGAAATTGGCTAAGGTTAAATGATCTAAAACAAGCTTGAGAGTTAATTAAATTGATACTCTTACCCTTGAATTCTTACTTGTTTTTAGAGACAACATTAATGGTTTCCTAACTAAGGGCCCTTTTTAAATGATCTATAGTGCATTGTTTAAAGTGTGTGGGGCAAGTGCATTGTCCAACTCCACTGTTGCTAGTTAAATGGCACATAATCTGGGTCCAAAATAAGCCGCAAGGTGCAAAAGGGTTATAGTTAGTCTCTTAATTAATCAAAGGTGTGTTTTAGGCGTAACGTGAATTAAACCAATGAGAGTGACAGCTCCCATTCCCTTTAAAAGCCAGATGCGCCTAAATGTGCTGCATTATTACAAACTATGATGAACTGGTCGTGGGTCACATCTCTCTTCCAGGTGATTTCTTTATTGTGTGTTGCATTGATGCATGAGTGTTATCTTTAATGATATGCTAATGATTAGAGAGGCTGCTGTCAGCGTGTCCTGACTGATCCTGTCAGAGTGTCGGGGCATTTATATAGTGTTTTTTTTATAATATCATATTTTCAATGGGATAACTTTTGCTGTGAATTGGCGCTGTATAAACAAAACTGAATTGAAATATTTCAGTCTGAATCACAGTTGCTTGACCAACAAATCAACAAATTGACATCCATCCTTAGAGCCTTGCAGCTAGCACAGGCTTATTTTCTTAAAGACATCACCACTATATAAGAAAGCCAGACTTGGTATAATAGCCATATTGGAAAATAATGAGAAATGTGAGCAAATTTACCTTGCAACAAACTTTACACATTGGTGGAAAACAGACAAGCTGAAATACAGCCAAGATTTAAATAGTTCAGGAGATGACAACCATAGTCTACTGATGGTATTGATGGTACTGATAGTACTGATGGTACTG